GATATCCTGCTGACACCCGATTGATGCTATTCAACAATACATACAAAACAGCAAGTATTGTTCTTGAGCTATTGGATTTATCACTAGACGTTACAAACAACCTTATAAATACAACATAACATAAACAGACCCCTGAGAATATTGCTGTTTGTCTTTTACAATTTTTTATATCTCATATACCGAAAAGTCAAAGATGTGCCTGTTTCTCAAGGATGTGCTGAAACTGTATAAATGGTTTGTACTAGAACAGTGATGTGTCTAGTGTTTAAAGAAACCTGATACAAGAAGATGCAAGGTTTTTAATGTCTACAACCGGGGAGCTGCAGAATATTGTGTATGGCACTTAACATTGGTGAGAATTTTAGTTTGGAGATCATAACAACTACATCAGCTTGGGGCTTCCTAGTGTAAACCACAGGCGCTCAAAGTGTCATAAATGTTCTGGAATGTTTGCAGTTTCGGAAGTCCCTGGAAAACCTCCCAGATGAACTGTACCTCAACCACTCTAACACTTCCAGATTAGTGCCCATTAAAGCAGCACCAGGTGCTCACATCAGAGATTTTTTAATGAAAAACAGATGTGCGACTCTTCATCTGTATGTGTGATTATTGGTGGAAAATATGATATATAATATGAACAGGTGTTCTTCGGAATGGAAGGTGTTATCAGCTGGTAAGGTGTAAGTGATGATGATAAAAATATACTGAGCAACCTAGTACTGTAATGATTAATGTAATATTTAATACAACTGGCACATATTCTGATAGTTATTATCAGGCAAATGGCTATTTTTCAAGCATGTGCACTGGCCTTTTTTTGAACAATAAATAAGAATAAGAATAAGTAAATTAATTCTGCTACTATTCTGATAAACAGAGCATACTGGTTCCTCTGTGTTTTTCTTATTGATTTTCACCTGGCTTGACATTCAACAGGTTAAAGTGATACATGTCTTTGCTAATCTTACACTGAAATAAAATAGTTCACAGTACACCTAAATCACCAGTGCTAAATTCACTCCAACTAGAACCTGCACCATAGGCACAGAAGCACAAAAGCACAGAAGAAGCGCCTGTACACATATAAATGAAAAACGTATCACAGGCCCTGTGAATAAAGTGATGGAGCCTTTCTAATGACCTGTCTGACAGACAGTACCCCTGCAACAAACACAGTCAACAAAGCTTTTCCTCAAGCTAGCACTGACCTCTCTAATCCATGGTAAGTCACTTCTTCTCCAGCCTTTATCATGAACATCATGACTGTGCAGACAGCCACTGGGACTTATGGACAAGGACATCTATCAGGGGATGGGGGATCTGACTACAGTGTGACACATATTGACAGTGATTAGCTTCAAAGAGGTGGCATGTGCCAATGACAAAGTTTGAGCCAAAGCGGTTGAGGGCACAGAAGGGCACCACTACCCTGTGACCTGACTCTGGGACAATATGGCTGTGGAGCTGAGAGAACCTCCACTGACTGTGGCTGTGCTTACACAAGACACTACTGAATAATGCTGCACTCTAAAAGCCACCATTAACATGAAACTGCAATAGATATAATGTATTGTTACATAATTCAGTAAAGATTTCATAGACTCTCAATTAGTCACAATTGAGCTTTAACAATCAAGATTTTAGAGGGTAAACGTTACTGGTTGACAGCAATATGAAATCTCCAACAGCAGGGATTGAAAGCACTGACTGTACTAAAGGGAGTCATCCGTTCTTGTGAGGGTTCAAGTAAAATTCTGAAACTGATGTTAAGGACTAGTACTTATTAAAAGAACACGAGGAGATGATGCTTTATGAATATTTCCTTTTCTTAGCTTAAAATAGAGCAGAGATGTTTGTTTCCGTGTCACTATTCAGCTGCACAAAAAAGTAAGAACTGTGAAATTGTATAGTTACTCTTTTTTAAACATTCAACAAGTAAAAAAAAAACTCAATGTTTGTGTCAAGAGGAAATTTTGCCGTTTGGAAAGTGTCAGCTATTTCACCTCTTCTTGTTTTTCTCACCTTGTACATGTCCACTCTATTAATTCACCTGTGTTGTTTATAAGGAAGACACTGTAGATGGTATTGTGGCCAAGGGATCTGAAGTCGGTTGAAAACTGCAACATTTCATTTGGAACAAAATGTAAAATACTGCTGTTCACCTTTAAGGTTAAACAGCTTGAACCACTGACCCATACTTGAATGTCATTTGTGTTCTTCGGATTCTGGCCTTTATGTTCCCAGAACAAGACTCCCACCACTGGGAGCCCTTGTGAGGCTGTGCTTTCCACTCTGGTGCTCCAAGACTGTGGAACGATCCCCCTGCTTATATCACAAGTCAGTCAACCAGCCCGCCCTTATTCATCCTCTCTTTTATACCCAGGCTTTTAAAATATTAGTGTTGATTTAAAAGAATGATCTCTTAATCAATATTTATGTTAATACTGTTTGTGATGCAAAGCACATTAAACACTGGCCACAGCTGCCTTGAGCTGTGTGCTTCCTTGCTGGCTCTGGCTTTGAAACAAAGTAAACTGTCACAGATTCTTACATTGCGACACCTAATTTCTTTGTTAAAATTAACATCTGAGATGGACTGTCCCTCTGACATTGCACCACTGTTCCGCTCCAGGCGGTTTCAAGCACCGAAAAACACTCACCTCATGCAACACTCAACTGCCTGCCACTGTGACAGGGCTCAGTGGGATTCTAAGGCTACACATTATGTCATCCCTTAACACTGTGGTGACCAAAGACCCGCTCCCACTGGGAACACTGGATTCCCAAGACGCTTTTACAATCCTGTCATTGTATAGAAAATACTTCAACGCATTTTTCTCTGCTATTGGACTTTAGAATTGTGTTTTCTTATTGTCAGTGTGCTGTGAAACCATCTGATGATTTTATAGAGGATTGTGTGAACGAGAATACAAAAGAATTCATTATTAACAGTCACTGCAATCAGCCCAACTTTTTTCCATACTGTGTTATCGCAACGTCCTTATCTAAAAGGGTACTGTTCTGTGCATAATGGCTGTGGTTTAGTCATGACCTTGCCAGAGTCCAAAAATAAACACAAACGGCAGTGTGGTGTTTTACATTATTTTCAAAGCAACAGTTAACAAAAGAAAAAAGCCATTTCTATCCTTTGTTTACAAACTATATATGAAATAAATGAAGGTCAACTGTGCGCAGACTACAAAGTCACACTGCGCAAATGGTCCAAATTGAAAATAATTGATCTTTGCCCCTCATTATAAGCAATGCTCTGCCGACTGCAGCCAGTAAGAGCAGGGAGCAAAACTGAGCGAGAGGGGCAGGGAGAGCAGGGGACTCTTATTGTGAAAGGCCTCGGAGCAGATCGCTCTCCTGCTTCACTGAAATCAACCAGGCATGACAGGTCCATCTACAGCTTGAAGTCAAGTATGGAGGATCACCATCTGAAAATGCCTTTCATTTTCTCCATGAGAAAGCTCTGTTTCTGTAAGCCAATCACGACAGAACTATATAACGGATTACGTAAGGCTGCTGTTTCTGTAACATCAGAAAGTTACATTTTCCACTTCAAATATAAATATATACATATATATAACTGAATTTGCATTAAACATTCTCAGTGTTGGGTTGTATACCATAGACCTGTAAAAGCTTATATTCTCATCCCTCAGATGCAGAGCAGAGGGTGTTTGAATAATTTGTATTTCAGTAATTCAAGGTCATGCCATCCAGCTGTAAGAGCAATACTTTGGTAGTCTAATGTATTCATATCAAGGTCAGAATAGGAACCACCTTAGTCAGCATTACATTAAACACTGTGTAGGTGATGTTTCACTGCTATGAAAATGTGGGCATTACTGCATGCACTGAAAACTGTGCATTTTCAAACAGGTGTAGCTAGGCATCCTTAGTGTAATTAACACTGCCCCCTACTGACACTTTCTATATATTCAATTGGAAAACATACAGCACTCCTCAAGTTGTTGTAAATTAACCCTTCTTGTGTCCCACAATTAATTAACGATTATTGAGAATGAAAGAATCAGCGCATGGGACTTTGGACTTTTGCTGTTTTGGACGTATAAGAAATACTGATTGTGATGTTATTTCTTCCTTTGACTTTGCTGAGGGTGCAAATGACATGGGCTCCTGTATCATTTAGCACGCCGCCTGTTCAGAGAGAGTCCCCCTCCTCGAACTGTGCTAGTTCGCATCACACCATTCGATACATTTTCACAAGCGTTTCTGGATTGCCCCACAGTCACCCATCCATCAGACACCACAGGTCAAAGAAGGTCAAATTAACCATGCCAGAACTATCTTTACACAATCACTGTTTTGTCTGAGCATGATAACACAATGAAGGTGACTGTGTACACTGAGGAAGCCTGTCTTTCCAGAAAATGCATTTTTATTTTCTTGATGAAATCCTCTTTCTGATGTGTTTTAAGTGCATCTGAAAGATTACACCAATTACCTTGTGCAGACCTGCCATGGGGCTTCTGATGAAAATATCCTTAATAGCCTGTCAAAACAGCCCTTGTCCTCTGCCAGACTGCTTCTTTGACAAGAGCCGAGCAAACAAGGAACGCTGGGGCTCGAGGGAGGACCTGCTCTCCGCAATGGGCTTTGACATTTTTCACCTACCGTGTGGACAAACAATGATATAGTAGAAATACACAGAACCCACAAAGAATTAAATTCATTTTTCGCCACACAGTTTCTCCTATAACTTTCTGCGCATTCCCCGATACAGGTGCTGCTCGGGGCCGTATTCTCGGCCTCATGTTGTAACTTCCGCACTTCCACACACGCCTCACACCCCAATGGCTCAAGGGCTACAGGAAGGAGAGGCAGAGGGAGAAAATCCCCTTTCGTGCATTTCTGTGTTTGTATTGTGGAGTACAGAGTAAGGGTAAGGGGTAAGAGTAAGGGCCCTGTGCTGACAGTGTTCACGCACAAGCCTGCAAAGCAAAGCACGGAAGCAGCCGGCTGGTCCTGACCTCTTCGCCCAGGTCTTCCTTTACGACGCGCAAGACCTCCTGGAGAGAGCTCTGGGGCGCCCTGCTGTGGAGCACCTTCAGCGTGCGGGTGTACTCCTCGGGCAACAGGTACTCCAGAGCCCCCAGGTGCTGCCCCACTTTGATGAAGGTCCCCCTGTTGGCACAGCACAGCTCCCTGAGGCGTTCTGCAGAGCGGAGGTGAACCTGCGACACAGGGGACAGCGTCAGCACTCACATTCAAACAGCGGGTCATGAAGGAGCCACTGTTTATGAGAGCCCACCTTTAATACACTGACCACAGTCGCAACATTTTACTGGGTTTAACTACAGTTTTGTTCTGGTCTTCTTTGGATTTAACATGCCCTCACTGGGCTTTACCACACTGGACCATGTTGGGCCATGGACTGTGATAAACATTTCTAAGGAAACGAATCAAGAGTAAAACCACAGTAACTCCATGGTACATTTAGCAAGGTAAACTTTCACAAGGGGCACCATTTTTAATTAATAAATGTTAGACAGCCAAAAGTTAAATACAATTCTATTAGGTTTTATATTGAAGCAAAATTAAACCCAAATTCTGTTAGTATTTTACTCAAAAATAAATATTGTAAGACGCGGAAGACAAACAGAAGATTCAAAACAAGTGTCTCCTTCAAGGAGATCCTTTTGATGACAGGCCATCAGATGGAATGTCATTTTATACATGAGCAATTTCCTCATCCTCTCTGCTCTACAGCCTTGGAAGTTGATCATTTTCATTAAATGTGCCCCCCTTGAGACTCACTTGAATGAAGGCAGGAAGACAAGACAAGCATCTCTTGCAAATGCACCTGAAATCAGCCCCCATGACCCCCTCACACACACACACCCAGGACACGTTTAGCAACTGGTTTTGGAAGCAAAATCTGATAGACAGCTCCTGAGCAACATAATGCTTAAACAAGGGTCACAAACACAGAGTACTCTGGTTTCCCTCTTGGTTAGTCAATTTTTCAATTAAACACTTTCTGGGACGCATATAGGATTTTTCTTAAAATGTCTAACAGTTTATTACTCAAAACATTCACCTCACTAAAAGTACAACTACATATTTAACACTTTTAGATACTGATTAAAAGTAATAAAATTAATGAATGCAGCTGATGAAATAATTACGGCATCTCTGCTTTGTAAATGAAAACTGAGTTAGAAAAAGTGAAGCCACAAATTGAATTTAAAACCCCTGGTTTAAAGGCTCATTAAACTGTATGTCAGTTACAAAATCATCTGTGTAACAACCTCATAACACACACTTTAAGCAAAAGAATGTTCAGGAACATACACTGTTTACACAGAATCCCTGGATCACTAAACAAGAAGTTATTCATAACATACTGACATTTACGATTGCAACTCCTAAGGAAATGCTTGTGAAAAGCCCACATAATTGACCTTTTGAACACTTTTCTTGTGCGTGTGCTCTGTTCGTTTGGTTTTTGTAATGTTAATCTCTGCAGTACTCACTTCATCATTTTACCAGCTCTCTGAAGCGATGAATGCTGAAACTCTGACTGAAAACAGATGAAATATCCTTTAAAAAAGGGATGTTCATGTGCTGTTCCAATAACTGAGCTTCCAGAAATTGTTTTAAGCCTCAGAAACCGCAGCTCCATTAAAAAAGAGCGTCATTCACAGGACATGAATTTTGGATTGTCATTGCTTTAGAGGAATTCACTTTTAACAAAAGCAACAGATACACGTTTGATACTCAGATCCTTACAGCAAATTAAAATTATGACTAAAGATTTTAAAGCTACAATCTTAATTTTAACAGTAAACTCAGCCGATATTTAAACATTAACAAAGGTGTGTTTTGAGTCTTGCGTTTTTCAGATCCTAAATTCCTTTGCTGTATTTTTCTTATGTGTCTTGGACTCCTTGTTAAGACCAAAGTAAACAATTTTCGGTCTCCTTGGATTAAAATTAATCCCGCTCCATACTGCGTGGTGGATTAAGAGGATGTCCTGTGGGCATTTCCCAAGATACATACACATTGCCTCAGAGCACACCTTGATAGTTCTGTGAAAATTGGATTTTCTTTGCCTACTGCAGGCACTACCAGAAATTTAAATAATTTCTGAAATAATTTTAGGTAGAAGAATGTACATTGAATATCTTATCAAAAGAAAAATGGGGGGAACCGAACCAGAACTGGAGAGGCGGGCTTGTTAATAATCCTAATTATTCCATCTTTAGGCTGTGAGAGTGAAGCGGAATATTGGGCTTGTCGTTCTCTTCCCGAGAGTCTCTGTTGTTCTGAAGAGGAGGACGTTTCTCTCTGGTGGTTAATACCCTGGAGAGAGAAATCTGTGCCACCTGTCATCTCAGAGCTCTGGCAATCAGACACACATACTATTGGCAGGCGCAGTGTTTCCTAGTGCCTGCAGCCAATACAGACCTATATCTCCCAATGATGGGAAGCTGTGCATTCAGATAAGGATCATCTATACGGTGACACTGACTTTTATGATGTGTAAAGGAAAAGCTTTAATGCCTTTCACCATGCTTTAGCGACACAGAAGACAGCCCACTCTCTTAAAGGCACACTGCCCGATTCTGACCATTTACAGGGACAAAGAAAAGAACCTAGTACTGCTGTCGGAATGTTTCACCACTGCTCCTGCTGTAGAGCTCCACTGCCTTGGAGCAGTTTCTGTTCCTATTTATTTATTGATGGCCATCAAAATGCAACGGACATCACTTACAAATTAAACCCTTTCAAAACCCTGCATACGTACCCTGTATGATCCATAACTGTTCTTTTTTAACCTGTGAAATGCATCACCGGTTATATTTTAAAAACTGTTCCAGACATTTCAACATTTTGCCGGAAAAAAGCAGGCCTGAAACATTTTCATTCGAGATTCGATTGACTCATTATTATTCAGTGAATTGGACGGCACAGTGGCAGGGTGTTCAGTACTGTGTCCTCACATGTCTCCCTGCAGAATGTAGTGTGGGGAGCTGTCTGTGTAATATTTGCTTGTTCCTCCATGTTCACATTGGTTTTCTCCAGGTGCTCTGATTTAATCCCTGTCTCCAAAGGCATGCCGGCGAAGATGACTGCTGTCTCTAAATGCCTGTGATGGGCTGGACTGGCATCTCCCCCACAGATATGGCTTACACCATGTGTTCCTGCGATGGACTCTGGTTTGCTATGACCCTCAATAGGAATAAGTTACTTCCTGACAATGGATGGATTTTTCAGTGACCAAATATTGCGCCTTTTTTGCCTCAGCGCATATTGTGACCCAGTGGCCAAATTTATTTTCCCTTCCAAATCCGTAATTGTATCGCAGCGCATTTCTTCTGACTTGTAATGCGTGTACTTAACTCCCCAGGTTAAGCAGTTGCACAAAGGCAATGCTGGAGCAGAAGAGCTTGTCAGATTCCTTCTGCTGCAGTGAGAAGACAATGAGGTTCAGCTCAATTAATGCTCTTCTCCCGATCCACTGGCAGAGCAGCAAAGAGCTGAGACAATGACAAGCTTGATAATTGCCAGGGACATTAATGACATATTTCAGTAGCAGGAAAAAAGCCATTAGATGCCCTTTTAAAAGGCACTGCAGAGCCATCAGAACCTATTATCGTGAGTTGACTAATAGAAGCCCAAAGGTCATTATAATGTCATCTCTTTTTCAGAGAAGAGAAATGTTACATTTAAGAAAACATAAAAAAACAACATCTTTAGAGTTTAAATATTTATTTTTGGAAATCTGATACAAGTAGTCTGTTTGGAAACTTTAATTGTTAACTCTACCTTACTGAACATCAGAAATTACTGTTTAACCAGCATTAGATTCTATTTACTATGTGTTCCACTGCTCATCTGACATGTTCTACAGCTCATGATGGGTGAGCATTTTTCTCTGCAAAATCAAAAGATTTACCTAAGGCTTACCTAAAAATTATAAAAACTTACATACTGTAGGATGTGGGTGTATAATATTGTGAAAATGCAAGTAGGACAGTGTTATGCGTACTAATATAGTCTTTAACGTTTTGCATATTGAGCATTATCAATAATATTAAGACTTAAAGACAACTACACAGAAACAAAAATGCATGTAATCAGTGGACCTCTGCAAACAAGAAATGTTAAAGACTTGCAATGCCTCGAACCAAAGGTCTTAAATGTGGATTCACAGTGAGCCTTCTGTCAGCTTCAGCTTTTCTCATTGTCCTTAACTTTTTTTGAGCATCTTCTTTTTGTACTGGCATTCACGAAGATTAGAGGGAAGAGAAAGGTCACTTCAGAAGCAGGGTAATTTTACAGCATGGACAGGGTTTTCTATGCTCTCACTGCCATAACTAGTAACTTAACTATCAGACTGACAGTCTCTAAACCTGACGAGAGAGACATCTGCTCTGATGCGAACACAGTGAACTGAGAGGACATACAGAGTCAACTGATTGAAACAAATTTGACTCTGAAATGTTGTCAAGAATTGGGCTTCGTTTAAGGGTCCCCTGACCAAAGACAATGGCTTCCAGCATTTAAAATTTAATTAAGCTGAGACAGAGAGCCACAGAACAGAAAAAGGGGAAAATCTTTCATCGTTCATCCATTTGGCAAGTGCTTTTCCAGTTCAAGGTTGTGGGGCAGCTGGAGCCTATCCTGGCATGCAATGAGCCAAGGCAGGGTGCACCCTGGGCAGGATGCCAGCCAATCACAGGCCACACGCAGCCACTCACACCATGGATAATCTTCCCAGAAGCTAATTAACCTCCCAGGATGTCCCAGAGGACAGAGAGCTCACCAGGACCAGCCCCCAGGGCCCGTGCTAACCCCTGCGCCACTGTGCCACCCGGGGGGGATCAGATCACCTCCTGTTTAATGCTGAAGGTCAAGTGTTTGATGGAGAGCAGGACACTGTGGTGGAACAGGCAGAAGGGGCAAACAGCATTTTGTATTCCACGACTCAAAACCATGTTCTGTCAAGACACATTGCGGCTTTCCAAAGAAAAGCTGTCAGGCAATTCGTCCAAACTTGAACTACTCATTTTAAGTAATGTCTTATTGACTTTACATTCATATACACAATGCGTTGAAGGTAAAACTCTTAATCAATTCCCTCCTCTCTCCTCCTAAATGGGAGTGCACACAAATGAATGCCCTCTTGATCAATGTACCTTCCGCAAGATGTGTACATGATCACGAG